CAGTTTAAACGTGGAATAGACGTTGATGGCAATATGATCAATAGTAACTACTAGTTAATTTCTTTTTTAGTACCTCTAGGCAGTCTTTTTAGATTATCAATTCAGATAGTTTAAAAGAAACATCAATCTGCTAATTTTTTTTCTCTAGTTGATGCTCTAGCAGTCTAGTTGGTAGAGCAACTTGTCAATGTTTTACAGTAATTATACTAATCATAGATACAGTATAATCTATTTTAGTAGCTATTATTAAAAGTTTATATTATTTTTTTATTTAAGTTTTACCAAGCAAGCATCTATCTTTTCAGTTTTTTGAGTTTATATAATCATAAAATCTTATTTTAGATTTGCATCATTCAAAGCTGGTTCGTATACCTTTATATAACTTATTTATTGTATAAATTTCACTAGTGGGTTTCAAACATCAATTTGTTATCAAAAACCTTAATAAGGAGATTTTCACCATGTTAATATATTATTTAAAGATGTAATAACTTAGAACAGTATCATTTATCATCTGATTTTTTTTTATTAAAGACTTACCTTCCCTTCCCTTATTAATATATATCTTGCTCAGGTTCTTATATATAATTTTAAAATTTTTATCCCTCTTTCCCCCCTAAAAAATCACCTGATTTTTGTCACGTTTGTTATTTTTATTTTTATTTTTATTTTTTTTTCACTTAGGCCACCTTGCCTTTAGTCTCCTTTATTACTTTACGATTGTATGGTATTACAAAAGGTCTTAGTATAATATTTAGGAGTGGCATCCCGCAGTTACTTCGAGAGCATTTACAAGCGATTAGTCGCACTGAGCAGATATATCCTTATGAATATATCGTGATAAGTTTTAAAATAGAAACACTATCTCTCTCAGACAAACACTATCAGACCACTGCTCTACAATAGGATATCACCAATCTGATAACATCTTCTCATAGGGAAGTAGAAAGAAAGAAAAATTTTTTTACTAACACTAACATTAATACTAAAGGGAAGATACTAAAAAAAAATGAAAATTAAAACTAAAAAACAAATACAAAGATGAAAGGGGGAAGAAAAAGAAAAAAGAATCTAATAGGTCACAGTTATAGACCTGTGTCGGGCCTTAAAAATTACATATTAATAGGTAAAGAAGCTCTGTATCTAACTCTATTCTAATAATATATGTATATAAAAAAAATATATAAAAAAAAAGACAGCTAAATAAAACAGAGTAGCCCGAAATAAGAAAGTCTCGAAGTATTGTCCAACAGTTTTTCTGGTTGAGGCACATATACCATTTGTGTTGTCATACAGTCTGTACACGGTTGCTTAATCCAGATGTCTGCCTGATATCCCGTTATGGGGGATGGCTAAAGCCCGGTGCATTTATATGTTTTTGATTATTTAATTAAAATTAAGGTAAGGGTTAATTAGGGGTTAAAGTTAGGGCAAGGCTTATAGGTAAAATTGTCTTCTCGACTTTTTTTATTAGTGCACCGAGGCAGGTTTAAATACTCGTTTCTCGTATTTCTCAGATTTTCATTTTTTTTCTTTGTTTTTGTTTTGTCGGGCTGATCTGGGTAAATCAAAATTTACGCCTTGATTGGTTGTAAGTCACGTGAACGCACCTGGCTTTAGACGACCTCCCATTATGGAAGTCCCATCCATTTCTAGACAGGTAAACAATACCGACTTGTTTTGGAAAATTATGTGTCGATCTTTTGGAGGAGATAAGCTAAAACGCCCACTTTTTGACAAAATTTCCTCGAAAAAAGTGGTGGACCAACGAAACTTTTCTGTAGTTGTTCCTTGGAAGTTTTACGGTTGTATAGATATACCTTAAGCTTATAATACTCCTAGTGTCGTCCTAGATGTTCTGTGTTTCCAAAATATTCTTTTGGTTTGGATGCCGAATATAATAGAGGAGTCCGCCAGAAGAAGAGCTTGACATCTACAAAAACCAGTCCAAAGTAGACCGTGCCTCAGTTTTACACTCTTGGTACTTCGTCGACAACACACCTATTTTCGTAGGACCAAGTTTATTATTTACTTAAGCGTCTTCTATAGTGCTGACCATAGTTCAGTTTCTTGTTTTTTGTTGACCAGATGATCATTGGAAAGAGTGATTTATTAGCTATAAGATTGTGCTTTTACTAGTAGTGTTAACTTTTATAAAGCTTAATATTTATTATAAAAAGTATTAGTTTTGTAATCTCTACATTAAATGTATCAAATTCTTGGTAGTTTTCTATTCTAAATCTAAGTATCTTGATTAATTCTTAAATTCAAATAAATTTAAATATCTAGATCAGTTATTTTACTTATTTTAGTTAAAGAACTTAAATAATAAATATAAGGATATACTCAAAGCTAGTTTAAATCTAATTTAATACAGATTCAATTTGGATAGCCTATTAAAGATAAAATTAAAATACTAATTCATAGCTTATTTAAATATAATATTCTGGTACATCTTTATTGTTATCTATACAGTAGTTGTAATTTAAGTCTGAATGGCTTAGAAATCACAGAATTAACACTGTTTAAAAAATATTTTTTATTAAAATTTTGTTTTTACCAGAGTTTTAATATTCTACTAGCATATTAATATTTTGCCAACTCATATATATTTTTAGAAAGAAATTTAAAATTTAGTTAGTTTATAAAATAATAAAACTTATATTAGATTGCACTATTATATAATTTATATTACAGCATTATATAATTTAGTTGTACTATAAAAAAGTTTTAGTTAATATTTGTAACAAGCAATACTAGTGTATATCTTATATTACTATCACAATTTGAAAAAATAAATTTGAATATTATTAAATAAATAATATAAAATATTCATATTAGATATTTAAATTGTAAGATAATAGGCTTTAATAAACTTTTTTTGGCATTATTTAAAAATTTTTTTATTATAAAAAAAAGTTATGCATTTATATCACTAATTATTATTTCATAATATAAAAACTAAATATATAATTTTGTATAGCTTTATTTTAATATTTAAAGATATTTATAATTTTTTTTAATATTAAAGTAACTATTTTGAAGTCTAATATAGTTTATTATCTTCAAATTGAATATTAGTATAGTTACAGAAACTGTTTTTCTAATTTTATTATATTAATAAAAGTACAATTAGTTATATATACAAGTTTAGTTATTATCTATTTAAAAAATCTGCTATTGTTACGGTGAATTCTGGTACCCTGTGATTTTGTGGTGTCGGGCATGACTAGGATTAAAATTTGTATAAGTGGGGTAATTCAGATTTGCAAAAATTTAATTTATAGTCTAATTACATATACTGTATAATGTGTATAACCTGAGTAATAATATATCTGATAATAATCTTGTATTTAAATCTAGCGATCTTTAATAGTAAAAAAAAACAGAGAAAAATAATAAATAAAGTTTGCTTAGTGAAAAATGTAACATTATAATTAATACATCGTGGTTGTCCTTATAGTGTTAAGGTGACAAAGCGAAAAGGTGATAGTATCTGAAATGTTAATTCAGCCTGTGTGTATAGCCAAATGAGTTGAGACTCATAAGAAAGAAGTCAAAGACCCCATAATACTATAATTAGCCAAGATACAAGGACCTGAGTAAACAAAGGTTCTACTCACTGAATTCTGTGTAATCTCAAGTAACAAGTGATATTAGCATAAGAAGAGGCAAAAAAACATTGTTAGTGCGAGTAAAAGAATAAAACAAGAACATTAAAAAAACGAAAGAATTATCTAAAGTGAATGAAGACAAAACTTATAAAAATAGAGACATGGGTTTGTGAAATTAAAACTATAATAAGTAGGTTAACTGAATTGGTTAAGGAAATTGAACAATAGAAAATAAAGAGAAGGGCTAAAAGATCATGTTTGTGTTATGAGTGTCAAAAACCAAAGCACCTTGCCCAAGTTTGACCAAATCGAAAAAGCCAAGGGTCAGAAAGCAGTAATGTAAAGGACAATAGCATGTTAGTTGATATCTGGCATATGGAGTTAGTAGAAAAAATAGTGGACAATGTTAAAGTAAATAATCAGAGCCCATAGAAGCATAAATGTTACCTTAGAAGGAACCGAATTGAAAAGAATAATCCTAAGAAATTCAATTATTATCAAAGATCCATAGATATGAGACATGGTGATAGAACCTTTAATGTTAGTTGTTGTAATCAAATTGAAATTAGAAATAAGAAGAATGAGCAATACCTGGAAATTAAGCTTGATCATGCCGATAACATGTTTGAGGAGAGAAAATGGAAAAATTCAACTGCTGTCATAATGAAGTCTAGACAAATGAATGTAGATGAGCATGACAATGAAAATGTAGCAGAAAAACAGTGCAAATTAAGGATATACATCCCTTTGATGAATTTGTGCCGATATCAAGATCTCGTGATAAAACTTGTCAAGTTGGAAATGACATTCTTGTTGAACCAGTTGTGCTGATGGATTCGTGAAGTAAAAGATATGATGATGGAGGTTCTTATATCTAAATGTGGTGAGAAGAAAATGTCACGAATCAATACAAAAATATTTATTATCACCAAGATACAAAAAGATAATGAAAACCAGTATTAAGGTTCTGATATAGGTAACACCGATAGAATGGGAATGAAAGTAAATAAATATAAGGCATTCATGTATTATTAAAAATCTACTGATATGGGTAATGCTGATAAGATGAATGAGGTTGAGTATTATTATCAAGATCAACTAAAGGTTGTGATAGATGTACTGTTAGACGTAATTATGAAAATGGATACAATGATTGAAGGTTTGCGAAAAACACTTGATGTTAGTGATAGCTATTATGTTAAAATTGGTATCATAATGAATGAACAAAGGGTGCTTATCCATCATCAAAAATCTGATGAATTGGATCATGTTAGTGAAACATATAATCTTGGAGGTTGTTATCAAAGTGGGATTGGTGTGAAAAAAATGAACATAAGGTGTTTGTTCAGTATCAAAAACCCAATGAGATGGATTATGCTAGTGAAGCCTATAATCTGGGATATAGATATCGAAATGATATCGAAGCTGAAAAAACAGTCAGCGAAAATAAAGCATTTGAAGGTTTTTTAAAGTCAGCTGAAAATGAAGATCCTAATAGGAGGTTCAATGTTAGATTATACTACGAAAAGGGTATGAGCACTTCCAAGAATGAAAGAAGGACATTTAAATTATATTTAAAAAGTATTGAATGTAATAATTTGAGTGGACAATGTGATCTTGAAGGTGGTGAGTGATTTAAAGTTAACCACAAACGATCTGGCAATGAAATTGTTGAAAATGAGTTGAATACTGATCTTGAAATGAAGAAGATTCTAATTGGCAATGGAACTGAAAGTCTAAGTGAAGATGTCAATGCTGAGCAAACTGATAATAACATTGAAGGTGCAAAAGATCTGCTACAAATACCCAGATCTGAAAATGATGCTATGCAACTAAAGAAAGGGTTGAAGTATAGATTGTTGTTCAGGTTTCACTGTGGTGTCAAATGCAAGTAAGATAAAACTGGGATGCCTAAATCGCAAAAACCTTATGATGGGAATCTGACGCTAGTATTGAATACACTAGACCAAATGAAGAAAAGAGGATTCTATAACTGTCTTTACTTGGACCACTTAATTGAATATGATGGACTGAAACATGTGCTGTTTAAAAATAGGATCAAAATACACAAGCTTGGACAATTGGACTTATGAATATGGTGATGCTAAAAAATAAAAAAATAAAAAATAAAAAAATAAAAAATAAAAAAATAAAAAAAAAAAAATAAAAAAATAAAAAAATAAAAAAAAATAAAAAAATAAAAAAAAATAAAAAAATAAAAAAAAATAAAAAAATAAATAAATAAATAAATATTAGTGTTAGTGTATGTGTTAACAGAATAATGTATTGCATGTTAGTTTAGTATTTGGATAGTATTAGGATTGATTGGGTATTTGAAAGTGGGTAATTTGTGTTAGAATTTGTTTTGTATAGGTTGAAATTTCAGGAACAAAGTTCTGGGAATCTAGCTTGTATTATGGTGAATTCTGGTACCCTGTGATTTCGTGGTGCTGGCTATGACTAGGATCGAGATTTGCATAAGTGGAGTGATTCGGATTTGTATGAATTTAATTTATAGTTTAATTATATATAACGCATAATACGTATAACTCAGGTAATAATATATTTGACAATAATCTTGTATTTAAGTCTAGCAATCTCTAATAGTAAAAAAACAGAGAGAAATAATAAATAAAGTTTGCTTAGTAAAAAATGTAACGTTATAATTAATACACCGTGATCATCCTTGTAGTGTTAAAGTAACGAAGCAAAGAGGTAATAGTATCTGGAATGTTAATCTAGCCTGTGTGTATAGCCAAGCAAGTTAAGATTCATAAGAAAGAAAGACAAAGATCCTGTAACACCGTAATTAGCCAAGACATTATATTATTTTTATTTATAATTATTTGTTTTTTATTCAATGGTCCTGCTTTATGCTTTATTGAAAGTAATATAAGATCAATATTAACAAAGATTATAATTTTTTATACTATAATCTTATGCAAAGAGACTTACTTGAGCCTAAATATAACCTGTCTAGCAGCACTATGCTTTACATTAGATCCTTAACTCCCTGAAGATTTGATCCCAATGATCACTAGCTGGAGCAGCTATACCTTATAAAAAATTTTATAAAATTATATTCAGAATTTGCTCAGATTATTTTTTTAAGAGATAAGCATTTTCTGTAATAAAAATCTATACAAAACCTTTAAAATTTTCTAAATATTTTCAAATTTTCTAAATATTTTTGAAACCTTGTTAATTTCTTAATTATAATTTTTGCTTGATAAAAATTATAATCAGAAAATTAACAAGGTTTTAAAAATATTTGGAAAATTTAAAATTATTAAAGGTTTTGTATAGATTTTTGTTACAGAAAATAAAAAAAATAATCTAAACAAATTTTGAATATAATTTTAATTTTTTTTATAGAGCATGCTTCATTAAGAAGCCTAACAAAATAAAAAATAGATAGAAAAAAACACAGAGGTATAGGAAATAATAATAAAAGATACAAGCAAGAAGATAAGGGCGAAGAGAAATATCAAAACAAAAATAAAAAAAATAACTATCCTAATATTATATTTATAAACTTGTGAAAGGCTTTAAAAAATTATATACTAAGACTAAATAAATTGTATCACTATTTAAATTTATCTATTTAGTATATCTAAGTTTAAAAATTATTGGAAAATACTTCTTCAATTAGATTAGATAAAGGTTAGTCTTCAAGCTAAATTAGTTTCAAAGCATTGTTTGATCAGCTTGTTATATACTTAACATGTTTATTGTTCTGTTATATCAATTTAAAAGATAAATAATACTGACTATTTTGGTGCATATAATGTCAATTTTTTGAAAGGGATAAACTAAATCATCCACTTTTTACAAAAATTTTCTCAAAAAAAGTAGTGAACTAACAAGTGTATATGAGATTTTTCTTATAAGTTTTACAGTTATATAATCAAGTTCTTCAGTTTTTATTAGATATTTTTGACCAGAAACCTACAGAAACATTGTTCTTAAAATAACTCTTCTGGTTTGGATGCTAAAAGTGCAAAGAAATCTACTAGAAAGCTTGACTCAAAGGCAGTGATGTATGTTTTGACTATCTAAAGGCTTTTTTAATACTATCTAATATCTAAATATCCAAGTATTCAAAGCATGTTCAAGCTTTAATAATTAATAAATTTGTTTAAAAAATATATAAATATATATTTTTTTAGGATCTGAATATATTTTACTTAGAAAATAATATAGGTTATCTTAATAACATTTTGAGTAATTTTAATTTATTTAATTGTCTAAAATTGTCTAAAGTGTCTAAACTTACTGTCTACAACTGTTCTGTAACAACACTGCCCAAAGGTACAACTTACTTATAGTTATATATCTACTTCTTGGTGTTTTATATATATAATAGCTTTATTAACAACAAGTTTGTTTGTATAAACCAAGAATATCATTATATCTACTTTGTTGCTTTTTTATAGTGTTTTTCTATAGTTTGGTTTGTTTTGTTGTTGACCAGAAGATCATTGGAAAGAGTTGTTAATAATATTATATTGTTATTTATAATTATTTACTAATTGCTATATCTAAAATTTGTCTATAGATTCCTTATTTAAACTTTTTGATTAACTTTATATTATCAGATATTATTGCTAAAAAGAGCCTGCTATTGAGTTCTCTTAAGACTTTAAAACAGACATATATTTCAATATAAAGAGCACTTTATTATTATAATAATCTACTAAAGTAGTTTATATTTCATATATATATTATTTAGATTTTTAGTAACTTATACTAAGTTTGAGAACAAGTATTTGTAGTTTTTTATTTTTGCTACTATTGTCTGCTCTGTGTTTTTATAAAGTTTATTTAAACTTTAATACTTTACTTCAAATCTATTTAGTATTTTTTACTTTTAGTATTTTCTAATTAGTCTTTTTAAACTTCTAATCTAAATAGTACAAAAAAAATATCAGTTATCTGGTATATTTACAGCAGATTTTTTTTAGTTAATACTCTGATAGCTTGGTTAATAAGAGACTCTTATCAAATATCTAGTTTTTGTTTAGTTATATTAATCTTAGATATAATCTATTTTAATAATATTATTAAAAGTTTGTACTATTTTCTACTTGAAACTTGCTAAACAGTTATTTATCTCTTTAGTTTTTTGATTTTATATAGTTTTTCAAAACTTATTATAAGTTTGCACTAACTAATATTAGCTTATATACTTTTGTATAACTTATATATTATATAAATATTTGGTAATTTTTCAGATATTTGGTACAACTTTGATTACAGATTTTAATTTAACTAATTATTAAGAAACAATAATTAAATACAACAGAATATTCTAATTTTGTTACTGGTAAAAAATAAACTCTAAATATGCTGCTTGATAGTATAATAACTTTATCACTTTACTAAGTTACTACATCTTGCTATTTTCAAATTTTACAAATTAATAAAATTTTAAATATTTAAATTAATAAAAAATATTATTAAGATGTTTTTATCCAAAATTTAAAACAAAAAAATATTCAACAAAAATATAGATAATATTAAATTTTAACTAACTTTAATAGAATAAAATTAGAGTATTAATAGCTTAACATAATTTTTTAGCTAATTCATATAAGCTTCTTTTTAAAAATATTAAAATATATATAATTTAACAATTTTTTAGTAGTAAATAACTATTTATCTACTAGTTTATTTAAATAAAATAATTGTTAAACTATTCATCTTAATGAAAAGATTCTAATAAATTCAAAAAAAATCAAAATCTAATTATTAGATTACAAGATAATTGAATTTTTTGCAGTATAACACATTTATATAGTGGAAAAATTAGTTAGCCTATAGTTTAACTAATTGTTCCACC